GTGCTTTAAACTTAGTATCTCCAGAGATTTGACCACTGACAGGTGCATATGGTGCTTTAAACTTAGTATCTCCAGAGATTTGACCACTGACAGGTGCATATGGTGCCTTAAACTTAGTATCTCCAGAGATTTGACCACTGACAGGTGCAGATGGTGCTTTAAACTTAGTATCTCCAGAGATTTGACCACTGACAGGTGCAGATGGTGCCTTAAACTTAGTAACTCCAGAGATTTGACCACTGACAGGTGCAGATGGTGCCTTAAACTTAGTAGCTCCAGAGATTTGACCACTGACAGGTGCATATTGTGCCTTAAACTTAGTATCTCCAGAGATTTGACCACTGACAGGTGCAGATGGTGCCTTAAACTTAGTATCTCCAGAGATTTGACCACTGACAGGTGCAGATGGTGCCTTAAACTTAGTAACTCCAGAGATTTGACCACTGACAGGTGCCTTAAACTTAGTACCTCCAGAGATTTGACCACTGACAGGTGCCTTAAACTTAGTATCTCCAGAGATTTGACCACTGACAGGTGCATGACATATTCTTGACAGGCTTCTATGTTGTCTTATACTTAGTATCCCTAAATAATACAGTCTTCTTCCAGTTTCTGATGCCTGACAAGTCCGCCATATATTGTGGGTATGAAATCTGATTCTTGGGATGCCAGTAATATTGAAGCCTTGTTCTAGGTTCTGACTCCCACATAGTTGCTGGATGGTACCACTCCGCAAAGGCATTTCTGCGTGTGTGGGGGTAAATTAATGTGACATGATTTGCTGTTCTTTTGTAGTCACCGCAGTTTGTTAGTGATTATATCTCTTTCTCAAGATTATAATGTATAGCAGGCCCAGAAATTAACACACATTTACTATAATAGCATTAGGGATGAGGGGTTGTCTTGGGAACCAAATAGCTTTTATAAAGCTGTGCTGATGTAACAATTTTCCTTAACGTCAGTGTTAAATGTCACGGCAGAATCGTGGCAGGAGTCACTGGATACAGGTTTCTTTTAGGCCCCTGGGAATGTATTCCAGTTAATGCTTCATTGCATTCATGCTTATTGATTACTCTCTTTATCAGCGAGAGGGTTCAGGGGCCCCATTGTGGGGAAAATAAGAATAGACCCACTGTCTCCCCAACAGGCTTGTTGTAAGAGTCAAATAATTGGGAGCTTCCTTCGAACTCGAAATGCATCTGCCTAAGAGGCAAGGAGCCACTAGTTTGCATACAGATAAGCCAGATATGTCAAGCGAATGTGGACACTTCACTCAGATTCTGGAACAAGACTAAAGTCCTGAGTTGGACAAACAACCAGAACTTTCCATTGGGGTTTACAGCCGGTGAATACGAAGAAAAAGAAAAGAAAGAGAAGAAGAAACAGAGGATTACTGCCTTTAAATATCCTTACATATTTTTGAGTTGAAAAACAAAATTTAGAATAATAAATTTAAAACAAATTTTTGTGACCTGTGTAAAAGAAAGGATTTTGGGGGTAATTCCAATTGTTTCATGGCCCATTTTTTGAGCATTCTTTGCACGAAAGGGTAGAGGTCCAAATTTGTCATTTTGTAAAATTTATTGGGGCAGACTAGTCATAGCATTGGTTAAGTTGACATATTTTGTAGCATGGCCACCATTCACTGATTAAGTTAACATAATTTATTGCGTGGCCACCATTCACTGATTAAGTTAACATAATTTATTGCGTGGCCACCATTCACTGATTAAGTTAACATAATTTATAGCATGGCTGCCATTCATTGATTAAGTTAACAATTTATAGCATGGCCACCGTTCATTGGTTAAGTTAACATAATTGATAGTATAGCCACGGTTCACTTGTTAAATTAAGTTAACATAATGGCCACTGTTCATTGGTTCATTTAACATAATACTGTAAGATTACTAAATAACCAAAACTGAAAAAAAAAATGGCCTGGATTTGAGGTGTGAGAAGACTAAAAGTGGAGGAATACAAGATCACATCGTTTTCCAACATTTTAAACCTAGAGTAGACAAAAAGTGATAAAGAAATTAATCAAGACCATTTGTTTGATGAAGAATGTGTGCGTCATACTAAAATTGAAAGTTAGTTGAGTATTGTTTACAGCATCAGTTCTGAACCTGGGGGTCGAATGACCATTTCACAGAGGTCACCTAAGACCAACGAAAAACACATATTCACTTTTTCTTCTTCTTCACTTCCTCTTTTACCGCTGTGGGTGTCAAGGGAGATATAAGGTTCTGTTTCTAGCTCTTCTGGCTGCCTCAACCATAGGTACATCGTGCTGTTGTAGAGTTTCTCTGATGTTATCCTTCCATCTTGTTCTTGGTCTACCTCGTGCTCTACGTCCTTCTTCTCTTTCCATGTATGCTTTGTATAGTATGGTGTCACAAGGCATTCTCTCTAAGTGGGCAAACCATTTCACTTGCTGTCTTCGTATGTAATCCAGAATTGGTTCTGTGCCGACTTTTTCTCTTATGATCTCATTCCTGATCTTATCTCTTATGGTCACTCCTACAGCCCTTCTCAGACATCTCATTTCCGACACATATTCACTAAAGTTGTGAAGTAGCAACAAAAATAATTTTATAGCTGGGGGTCACCCCAACATGAGGAACTGTATTCAAGAGTTGCAGCATTAGGACGGTTGAGAACCACTGCATTACAGGTTGTTGCATAATCATCCACAGCGTTTTTGACGGTTTGTGATTTTGCTAGGCAGTTTTACATTCACTAGTTTGCCATTAATACTGAATGTCTGTCAAAACCTTCAGGCAAGGTCTTTTTCTTGTAGAAAGAAAAAAAGCTTAAATGTACGCCATAACACATGTCATACATGACAAGAAAAATGTGTTCAAAATGGATAAATTACAACTTAAGTTGATTGACAGTTACTTTAGCTGGTGCCTCAGCTTGCTAGTGTTCCTCAACTTGGTAGTCCCGGATTCAAATCTCTCTTGTAAGCAATCTTTTTCAATGTAAATATGATTACAGCGTCGATACAGATTAAAAAATGTGGGCACCACAGTATTTTAACGGACATTTCTTGTGTAAAAAACCAGCATTATAATGTCTTTCTTTGTTATTGTTGTTGTTCTTTGCGTTCAGTTCTGTACGCTCAGGTCTGACCATCAGGTTGACTGTCTCCATGAGCTTGCATGTCAGTTGAGAGTTTTTGTTGAGATCAACTAACATTATAAAGACACTTTAGTGAAGACAGTTAACATTACAAGACAGTCTTTGCTTAAATCATCATCATCATCAAGTGCCTTGCCAGCTGGTGTAGGCATTCATGTATCCCCACAGATCTGGGTCTTTGGTGTTGTGGATCATTTCCACTGATGATATTTCTCTATGCCCCTGTCTTAAGCCATCCACCAACATTTCTCTTGGTCTGCCTCAACGTCCTCTACCAGTGATCTTTCCGCTCATGATGTTTTCCAGTGCTCTTTTTCTCATCACATGACCAAAGAACTTTGCTTGTCTCCTTATTGTTGTATATAAAGTTCTACTTTCATTAGCCATTTTCAGGCAATCATTGTTAGTTATTCTGGCAGTCTAAGTTATTCGCAACCTTCTTTGCTTAAATCAGTTAATATTTTAAGATTGTTGTAAATTAATTAACATTATAAGATTGTCTTCACTTAAATCAATCAACGTTATAAGACTGTCTTTACTTAAATCAATATTATAAGACTCTTTACTTAAATTAAAAAAAAATTATGTCTCTGCTTAAATCAATTAATATTATATGACTGTCTTTAAATTAATAAAAAATGCTGTCTCTGCTTAAATTAGTTAACATTATAAGACTGAATGCTTTAATAAATTGGTGTTATAGAATCAGCTGACATAAGACAAATCACCAAACAAAAGACTTGAAATTAGTCTCAGGAGATGTGGATATCAAGAAGAATAGGCTGTATTAAATGGAAACAAAAACAATCCAGTAAAGAGGTTAAGAGACTAGGAATGAAAAATGTTGTTGAAGGAAATAAAAAAATTAAGAGTTCAATATTTCAGCCGTTTTAAAGAAATGTAACATTTGAAAAAAAAAAACACAAAAAAACTAAACTGTGTAGGGGACAAGTTGAAGGCAAGCAAGCAAGTTTCAGCCAGTGATACAAGTGGGAGGATAATGCCGAGAGATGGACACACAGTAGTTTCAGAGCAAGCACATTCATAGCAGAAGACAGATAATGATTTAGATCCATTGCAGCCAACCTACATTGTAGAAAGGCACCTCTGATTGACTTAAATCAGTTGACATGAAAAAACTGTCCTTGTCTCAACTGTAAATGGACCCTTTTCCACGCCTTGGGGTGTATTGGGCATGCCAATTCGAATTCCAGTTAGTGAAAAACAAAAATTGCAAACTTGATCCTTTGTCAGCCGTCAGCCGCCATAGGCCTGCTGTACGAAGGAAGGCTCATTGGCTATCTTATTTGGTTTCCTATTCTTTGTGGTGTGAAGTCACGCCTGATATTCTTTTTTGTCTCCTAAGTCCGGGGTGGTTTTTGGGGTCCTGGATCCTGGTCTGGTCCGGTTCTCTTTAACCCCTGTATCCCTGTGGGGTTTTTGCTGATTGTTGCTGGTGCTTGGTTAGTTGGGCATGCAGGGCTAGAACTGTATTTTATAGACCAATCAGTATTTTGCTGGATGATGTGGTCAATATTACCCTGCCCGCTTTTACTTCCCAGGACTTTACCTGGTACCCAGTTAAGGCTGGTTCCACCTGGGAGCCAAGGTTATTTTTTTTGTTTAAACAAAAGAATCCAGCTCTGTTCAGATTTCAGCCTATGACTTTTGTATCCGCAAGCGAATGTTCTGGCCACTACACCACGGCGGCTCCCTGTCTCAACTGTAATATTAGTATTTATTCACTCAATTATTAGTTAACAATCGGGTTTCAGCCAGTGATTTCTGTGTCTATAGCTGTCCCAACAGATGCTAGATTGTGTGGGTCTGACACCGCTGCTGTCTGCTTTCAGGTTCCCTCGGCGGCCTCTGCGACTGTAGCATCATCCAGGTTGAGCGAGAAGGCTTGGCTCGTGGCCAGGTGGTATAATTTTGACATGATGTGAGTAGATAGTGTTGTGTGAGAAATTGATGTGATGCAAGTGATGTGATGCAAGTGATGTGATGTGAGTTACAGATGTGATGCAAGTGATGTGATGTGAGTTACAGATGTGATGCAAGCTATGTGATGTGAGTTACAGATGTGATGCAAGTGATGTGATGTGAGTTACAGATGTGATGCAAGTGATGTGATGTGAGTTACATATGTGATGCAAGTGATGTGATGTGAGTTACAGATGTGATGCAAATGATGTGATGTGAGTTACAGATGTGATGCAAGTGATGTGATGTGAGTTACAGATGTGATGCAAGTGATCTGATGTGAGTTACAGATGTGATGCAAGTGATGTGATGTGAGTTACAGATGTGATGCAAGTGATGTGATGTGAGTTACAGATGTGATGCAAGTGATGTGATGTGAGTTACAGATGTGATGCAAGTGATGTGATGTGAGTTACAGATGTGATGCAAGTGATGTGATGTGAGTTACAGATGTGATGCCAAGTGATGTGATGTGAGTTACAGATGTGATGCAAGTGATGTGATGTGAGTTACAGATGTGATGCAAGTGATGTGATGTGAGTTACAGATGTGATGCAAGTGATGTGATGTGAGTTACAGATGTGATGCAAGTGATGTGATGTGAGTTACAGATGTGATGCAAGTGATGTGATGTGAGTTACAGATGTGATGCAAGTGATGTGATGTGAGTTACTGATGTGATGTAGGTGATGGTGTAAATAATGTGATGTGAGTAAATGATGTGATGCGACTGAATGATATGATGTAACTGGTGTGATGCGAGTAAATGATGTCACATGAGTAAGACAAAAGATGAGTAGATGAATATAAATGTGTAAATGTTGTGGTGTAAGTAAGTGAGGAGAGTAAGTTATATGATGTAAGTAAATAATGTATTGGGAGTATATTATGTGATGTGAGTAAATTATGTGATTTGAGTAAGTTATAAGATGTGAGTAAATTGACTTAATAAATTATCTGGGTAAATTATGTGATGTAAGTGATGTGAATAAATGATGTGAGATGATTAAGTGATGTGAGCAAATGCTATGACAGGATTAAATAATATGATGTGAGTAAGGGATGTAAGTAAGTGAGATTGCAGAGGAAGTGATGTGAGTAAAAAGGAATGAATGCTGTGATGTAAGTAAATAATATGATATGAGCAAGTGTTGTAAGTAAGCAAAATTACGAACTATTTGATGTGAGTAAATACATTTTCATGACTAAACAAGTGATGCGATTGTTGGTATGTTTGCTGATTTATTGCTGTTTTGGTAACTAATATTTGCAAATTCATTTATATTTTTGTGGGCACATTTTTTACAGTGCATTGCTGTCTTGTCACCTCAGTGCTGTTCTTGTCACCTCAATGCTGTTCTTATCACTACAATGCTGTTCTTGTCACCTCAGTGCTGTTCTTGTCACCTCGGTGCTGTCTTGTCACCTCATTGCTGTCTTGTCACCAAATTCACTGTCTTGTCACCTCATTGCTGTCTTGTCACCTCATTGCTGTCTTGTCACCTTAGTGCTGTTCTTGTCACCAAATTCACTGTCTTGTCACCTCAGTGCTGTTCTTGTCACCAAATTCACTGTCTTGTCACCTCAATGCTATCTTGTCATCAAATTCGCTGTCTTGTCACCTCATTGCTGTCTTGTCACCTCATTGCTGTCTTGTCACCTCATTGCTGTCTTGTCACCTCATTGCTGTCTTGTCACCTCATGGCTGTCTTGTCACCTCATTGCTGGCTTATCACCAAATTCACTGTCTTGTCACCAAATTCGCTGTCTTGTCACCTCATATGAATTAATTAATTTTCTTTCCATGTGGGTTCCGGGGCTCAATTGTGGGGAAATCAAAAATAGACCCACTGCCTCCCCAACAAGCATGTCAACAGCTAATTCGTGCATGCTTCCTGTTGAAATACATCTGTCTGAGAGGCAAGGAACCAAGTGTCTGCATAAAAATAAGACAGATCTGTAAAATGGATTTGCACACAGCACTCAGGTTCCGAAAAAAAGACTAATGTCTGGAGGGGGCGAACACCCAAAACTGTCTGCCTGAGTTTACAGGCAATGAAAGCGAAAAAAAAGAAGAATTAGTGTTCTGTTATCTGTATTGACAAATTTGGTTCTGTCTTTGCGATGCCAGGTTTATGAAGCCTCTGTTGACCAACTGCAGACCTACACTCCTGGAGACAATGCCCAGATGCTGTATGCCATTTGCTAAAATCTTTACCACGGAGGAACAGATAACTCAGGTACGAGGCGGGGTTTGTCTAGTTGTGTGATGATGAGGTCATTCATAGTGGAGAAGGAGATGTCCCAAGTAGGTGGTGAGATTTGTTTAGTTTTGTGACAGTGAGATATTTTGAAGTGGAGGAGGAGGAGATGATGATGTATTAGGTTTGAGGCAATGTTCATTTAGTTTTGTGGGAAGCAGAGGATAGTAGCACTGCACCCAACCAGGCATGTCATAAGAGGCAACTGAGGGTAGCGTTTAGCTTGAGGTTGGCTACCTCATCCTGTAAAAAACAATAACCACAAAATCCAACCAACCATGCATAAGTCAAAAGAGAAACAAGAAAAACCAAGCCAACTAAGATGAGGGGAGGCTGTTGAAAAAAAAGAAGTATGAAATAAAGGAAGACCAAAAAGACATTGAGACGGGAGCTGGAGAGTGAAGTTAACAAGATAGAGAGGACATGGGGAGAGCTTCATGTGGCAGCAAAGGATAGAGCGCCTTGACATGAGTTGGTTTTAGGCTTAAGCTTGGGGGGTTGGGGCCTAAGCTCCAAGAAGATAATTTTCCATAGGGAAGGTTAGGAAAAACAGGGATGTCTTCATGTAACCAAGGTTAAAGGTTCATTTAGTTTTGGGAAGGGGGAAAATGAGATATTAATAGTGGCAGAGGAGGAGATACAGATTTCAGGTACAATAGCTTAAAAAGGTTCATTTAGGTGGACAGAGATTAAATTTAAAATAATGGGCAGGAGGAGATGAAAACAGATGTCTCAGGTACAAGGTAAGGTTCATTTAGTTTTGTGACAATGAGGTATTAATATTGGAGGGGAGGATGAAACAAGGTGAGGTTTACAATGAGCAAAGATTCCTTTAAGTTTGTGGAGGGGGGGGGGGGGGACGAATGAGATACTTAATAGTGAGGAGGAAAGGGAACAGGGTGTCTCAGGTAACAAGTAATTTTAGTTTTGTGGGGGGGGGACAGAGGATTCAATATAGTTTCGGAACAGGGTGGTCCTAAATGAGGGGCAAAGATTTTATTTTAGGTTTCTGAGATATTTCTTAGTGTAGGAGTTTACCATGTTGTTTGTGCATTGTTGCAGGGGGAGGTCCACTTTGACGATGACTCTGACACGGACAACATCCTGGGTCAGGGGAATAATTCCATCAGCGAGGATTACAGTATTAGCGGAGAAGCTGGAGGGCGAGGAAACCTCGATCAGCAGCCTTCACACTGGACACCCAAAGAACCGCTACAGGTTGGTCTCTTTAGGAACTGTCTGCATGTCCAACATCAGTGCAGTGTTGTGTTTTTCTTGTTTAGTGTCTGTGCAATGGAGCAATTTTGTCTTTTTTTCCTGAAATGTTTTATTTCTATACATTGCCTTAAGTGTTTTAACATTTTTTTTTAATACATTGTCTTAAAACTTTAAGTGTATAGAGAGCGATTAACCCTTTCACCCCGAGAAGCTGAAAACCGATATGTTTGTATGGGTCCTATTTCCCTTAAATGTCACTTTTCCGACTTGCCAATAATGACCTTTTTTCTGAGATGTATAGTTGATGCTGTTGGCTGAGTTTGCACCTGCGCCAATGTTAAGGAGGTCAGCATGTGAATACATTAACTAACAATAACATTTAGGTTTTTTTTTTTTTTTGAGCTTAAAGTTTTTTAAAGCCAAGTTGATGTTAGATTTTCTCATAGGGCTCAGTCGTAGAGGTCACCACGTCATGGCATTAGTCACCCAAAACATTTTTTTTTTAGGCCATGGGGGGGGGGGGGGGGGGGTGGGGGGGGGGGGGGGGGGTGTATTCCATTTAGTTGAATGTTGAATTAAGAATCAACATCACAGCCCGTGGGACGCCCTCATAAACGCTCCATCCCCATCATCAGCAGCAAGCGAAAAGAGTTAAAATTCTGATGGTACCAGTAACTGTTTCTGATTGTATATCCGTCTCGCCTTTCCCCTGAGTGTCGAGCATCAGCTAGATTCCCTTTTAACTTCTTCAGTATTTAATGCTTCACCCTAGTGGTGTTTATTGATTACTCCTTTTATATCATCGTCAGAACATTTATCTCCTCACATCATGTCTGAAGTATCCCTTTCCGTAGCCAGTTGTCCAGGCCCATGCGCTTTCAGTGCCAATGCATCTTCAATGTCTTGTATCCATCTTGGCATTGGTCGACCCCTGCCGCGCCTTCCACAAACTGCACCTTCTATCACTGTCTTTTTAAAACCACCATGACGCTTGATGTGGCCAAAATACTTTAACTTTCGGGACAGGATGCTGTTTATTTGCCAGTTCTCCTTGATTTGTAGCTCGTGAAGAATGTCAATGTTTTTTCACTTCTTGATCCATGGTACTCTTGAGAACTTTTCTGTAACATTTTAATTCAAATGCTCCAGTCTTTTTCTTCAGTGATTGAGTGAGTATCCAGGACCTTTCATTTATTTTTTTTTTAAAAAAAAATTTGTTTCTTCTTCTTGGCGTTCACCAGCTGTACACTCTGGCGGAAAGTTCTGGTTGCCCGTCCACTACTGAACTGCAGTCCCGCTCCAGAACCTGAGTGTTGCGTGTGCATCAGTTTTACAGATCTCATTCTCTTGAATTCTCTTGACTGTTGGTTCCGTGCCTCTCCGGCAGATGCACTCCGACTTCAAAGGAAGCTCCCCAATTAATCGACTCTTACGACATGCTTTTGGGGAGGCAGTGGGTCTATTCTTGTTTTCCCCACAATGTGGCCACAGAACCAACACGGAGGTTTTTTTTGTTTTTGTTTTTTGTTTTAATTTCAAAATTCATTTTAACTCTACCAGACCGCTGTACAGCTTTTCTGGTAATTTTCTAATCTGCCCCTAAACCGCTATACCTAATTTTTGGTACTTTGCATACTACGTGATAATGCGCATCAGAAACTAAAAATAACTAACCAATCATAATCAAACCTCGTGGTTAGTCATTGTGAATAGCTGCCCACATGTTTTTGGATTTACTTTGTGTGGTTCAACGTAAAAAATTTCTGAAAATTCACAGTGAAACGAGCGGCTGATGAATTAAGCACTTTGACAGGAAAGGGAATTAGGTCTAGGCTTTTCACAGTCCAACAGGTGATAGATACTTTGGTTGATTCAGACTCTGAGAAGTCAGAATTTCATGAAGAATACTTTCCCAGTAAAAAGTGACATAATCAGTGAGAGCTGGAGTGATGAGGAGAATCTTGAAAATAATAGATTAAAAACTAGATTGATAGTAAGAGAAGGGGAGCATGTCCCTCAAACAGCAACATCTGGTGCTCACTTTGTGAAACAAGATTTATCCTACTAGGTGGATTGGCACACAAAGGTGGAATATTGGCGCTAGATAAAAGGGTTAACCTAATTTCTACAATGTCTCCAAATTTCATCTTATTCTAACCACTTGTTTGCATGTAATAATATTTGTGTATATCATTTTTTTTTTCGTGTTAATGCCCAGGAGCTCAGGTATAGGGGCAGTTAGGTTCAGGGCCTCAGGTCTGGTAGGGTTAAATGAATTCATTAAAGACTTGTGTGAAAAGTATTTTTTGGTGAATGTAAACGGGTAATGAGTTAATTCTTTTTGTTTTGTTAAAGTTCCCGGGGTAGAAGGGTAAATTAGTTATAAATCAACATGTGATGCTTCCTTCGCATGAAAAGAGTTAAAGTGTTTAGTCGTTACACATTAAATAGAGAGTGATATTGCATTTCTCATCACTATATAATGACTGTTTTATTACTGAATTGTTTGTGTGTATTATCGTAAGTGTTTAGTTCTGCACATGGGTAAAGTGATGTTGCATTTCTCCTCGTGATGAAGAGACGGTACAGTTTTATTGAATTGTTTAATTTCTGTGCATTACTGTAAGTGTATAGTTTGTGTGCATTAAGTAAAAAGTTCTTGCATTTCTCCTTACAGTGTATTGTCTGTAGAATGGAGCAATGTTGCTGAAACTGTTCAGTTTCTTTTCACTACCATAAGTGTACAGTTTGTGTACATTAGGTAAACAAATGTGTGCATTTTGCCTCACGATGTATTGTCTGTAGAATGGAGCAATGTTGCTGAAACTGTTCAGTTTCTTTACATTACCATAAGTGTACAGTTTGTGTACATTAGGTAAACAAATGAGTGCATTTTGCCTCGCGGTGTAGTGTCTGTAGGAGCAATGTTGCTGAACTGTTTAGTTTCTTTACATTACCATAAGTGTACAGTTTGTGTACATTAGGTAAACAAATGAGTGCATTTTGCCTCGCGGTGTAGTGTCTGTAGGAGCAATGTTGCTGAACTGTTTAGTTTCTTTACATTACCATAAGTGTACAGTTTGTGTACATTAGGTAAACAAATGAGTGCATTTTGCCTCGCGGTGTAGTGTCTGTAGGAGCAATGTTGCTGAACTGTTTAGTTTCTTTACATTACCATAAGTGTACAGTTTGTGTACATTAGGTAAACAAATGAGTGCATTTTGCCTCGCGGTGTAGTGTCTGTAGGAGCAATGTTGCTGAACTGTTTAGTTTCTTTACATTACCATAAGTGTACAGTTTGTGTACATTAGGTAAACAAATGAGTGCATTTTGCCTCGCGGTAAAGTGTCTGTAGGAGCAATGTTGCTGAACTGTTTAGTTTCTTTACATTACCATAAGTGTACAGTTTGTGTACATTAGGTAAACAAATGAGTGCATTTTGCCTCGCGGTGTAGTGTCTGTAGGAGCAATGTTGCTGAACTGTTTAGTTTCTTTACATTACCATAAGTGTACAGTTTGTGTACATTAGGCAAACAAATGAGTGCATTTTGCCTCGCGGTGTAGTGTCTGTAGGAGCAATGTTGCTGAACTATTTAGTTTCTTTACATTACCATAAGTGTACAGTTTGTGTACATTAGGTAAACAAATTTGTGCATTTTGCCTCACAAAGTAGTGTCTGTAGAATGGAACAATGTTGCTGAACTGTTTCATTTCTAGACCTCACATTTCTGTAAATTCTCATCAGTGTTTACTTTCTGTACATTAGGTAGAGTGGTGTCCCATTTCTCCTCATAGCGTAGTGCCTGTACATGCAGCAGTGTTGTCTTCTTCTTGAACTTTTTAGTTTGTATACATTCTATTATCTGTTTAGTTTGTATACATTCTATTATATGTTTAGTTTGTATATGTAAGGCCCATGTGGCCATGCTCTCCAAACTATTTTTCAAAATAAGTTTCTATAAGTTGACTTTTTGGATTTATATACTTTCTTTCATCTATTTAGTTTCTAGACCTTACATGAACAGTTTAATTTCTGTTATTTCTGTTACTGTGTTATAATTTCTAAACATTACCTGAAATGTTTAATTTCTGAACATTGAAAAGGACTTTAGGTGTATTGAACATATAGTTCTAGACCAATAGTTTATAGACCATTTGGCTCTCCATGGGTAATGTCAACATCTTGCCGACGGCCTTTACTTCCTACAACATTACCTGGTACCCATTTAAGGCTGGGTTGACCTCGAAACCCAGGTCGTTTTTTTTAAAAGCAAGCCTCCTTTGGGGCCTAAACCCATGGCTGTCGGGTCAGCTGACAAGGGTCTATCCACTACGCCACTGCGGCTCCTTATTTCTGAACATTACCTGAAATTATTTATTAACGAACATTACCTGAAATTATTTATTAACGAACATTACCTGAGCAGTTGTTATGGGAAAAGGTTCTGCAAAGGACATGCTACTGACTGACTGACCTGATTAGTTAAGCTTTTGAACCTTACCTGACAAGTTTAAAAAACAGTGCTTACACTTTTAAGCATGCATGTTATATTCACTGAACAGTCTAGTTCTGATTTGGTAATTGGCCGCCTCGACCACAGACACATCATGCTGTTATAGGTTGTTTTTTTTTCTTCTGATGGTCTATCTTTCTATATTGCTCTTGGTCTGCCTCTTGCCCTATGTCTCTCTTTTCATTTGGTATATGCATACAGTGTCGTCTTTTGTCTAATCAGATTGGATATCGGCTCTACTGGCGAATTTGGCCGGTAAGCTGGACTGCTTCGGCCGGCTTAGCGGGGCTTAGTGGGAGTTATGTCCCTTGGCCAAACTCACAAAAACTCAAAACAAGTCGCGGAAAAAGTCACGAATCAAATGGTATACTTACCTATCATCATCCGGGTGCATGTAGGGTTGCGTAGGGTGTCTATCATCGTCCTACGGTTGCGTGTAGGGCTGCTTATTGCGTGTAGGGTTGGTTTTTTGCGTAAGATAGATGA